CACACACACTATTTGTATCTAAATAGTTGTTTGCAATTGGTAGCTGGCACATGTAGATAAATGGCAATATAAGTATTTCAGAGAAGATATATTGCTCAGCTGAGGCATAGTCTTGTCAAACGTTCAGCAGATAATAATTTTGATGAGAGATCCACCCCGTCTGCACCTGCCGAGGACTTCAGATTGTCTTCTGAATAATCAATCATATTTGCAGACAGTTTTAGACATATTCTGTTGATACATGGCTGCTGTTTTTGTGGTATGAAGTGGTTATCGTTGGAAATTGCATTGAGTTTGGAAGTGCTTGAAAACGACATGTTTCTCCCGACTGGGTGTCCTAACACTTTCTGTCTTTTGAAGAAAATAGCGCACCTGACCAGAGCAACGAGTCCTCTTTGGGCCTGAGAGACCAGCAGGTCCTAGACGTCAAGAGTTATGCCCGCTTGTTTTCCAAAAGTGTAGAGACTCTGAGAGCTCAGCTGGCAGAAAAAGGTGATGGAGCTGAACTTATATGGGATAAGGTTAGTTCAGTAAATGCTTGGGGATCTGTTGCAAAGTAAACCCCCTTGGCTTCTAGCACAGCCCAGTTCATGGGCCCCTGCTCCCAGGGCAAGCTGCAAATGGTTAGGCCCTTCAGAAGATGGCCTCTCTTCTCCCTCTGTGTAACGCTCCTTCCCTGACCTGCACTGACCCTAAAGGAAGACGTCACTCAGCTGCAGAAAGCACTAATCTTTAGGACTGAATGCATCCAGATGAAGTTAACTAGGAACTATATTGGCAGCCACTTCAAATATCTGCAGCTCGAGAGTCTCCTTAGTTGCCTGTCAATCTCTTGAAAAGGAGGTACCTGCAACCTTTGTTCCCTGGTCTTCAAGCACCCCCAAGAACATAGCCAAGGCAGTTATTTCTTTGCTTATTTCTCTGTTGAAAGAACAGGGCCCCAAGGGAAGGAGAAAGTTGGCATCATTTGCTCCCGGAAGGTGTGGTAGTTACTGAGATGGGGAGAGAGGGGTGTGTGTGTGTGTGGAGTTCCCTGAAGGGGAGTAGTGCATGAACAGTCCTTAGATCCGAGCAGGGAAACCTCCAAACCATGAGGGGGTCCCTGTGAATCTCATTGAAATTCCACACAAAGACCCCAGTTGGAAAGGTAGGTGGTGTCCTGCTTTGAACCTTGCTCTGAGCATGAAGAGGGCAGCCTCTACACAGCTGGTGTTCCACCGTGGGGCAGGATGGGAATCCCATGGTCATCTCGAATGCAAGGCAGTCTCTCTTATCCCACCCTCCAAATCAGGAAGGTGGATGGGAAAGAGTTCAGAAGATCCACAGCAAACGCTTCTCCGTTCTGTTGCGGAGGGGAAATGCCGAACTGCTGCTTCGCTTGTGATTGTGGCCAATGACCAAGAGGTGCTGCATAAATAGCATGAGATCAAATTGAGGTGTGGAGTTGTTTTAAAATGTACAGGAAAGCTTAACAGGCATTGCCTCTCATTCCTTTGTTGACAGGATGACCCTTCAGCAATGGACTTTGTCACATCTGCCTCAAATCTTAGGATGCACATCTTTAGTATGAACATGAAGAGCCGATTTGACATCAAATGTAAGCATATGAATTGCTTCTCTTGCCCTGTTCAAGGGCTCCATTTGTTCTTCTGTCCGGGATAAATGTCTGATTTCTCTTTCTCTTTACAGCCATGGCAGGAAATATCATCCCTGCAATCGCTACTACTAACGCTATAATAGCCGGTCTGATTGTGCTGGAGGGTTTGAAGATTCTCTCTGGAAAAATAGATCAGTGCAGAGCAGTGAGTCTCACGTTGCTTCTCTCTCTCTTTCTCATCTTTTGCTTGTTCATGCCAGACAGATAACTTGCTTCTCTTCTTCCCAAAGATCTTCCTTAATAAACAGCCAAACCCAAGAAAGAAGCTACTTGTTCCTTGTGCTTTGGACCCCCCAAACCCAAACTGCTACGTGTGCGCAAGTAAGCCAGAAGTGACCGTGAAACTTAATGTCCACAAAGTCACCGTTCTGACACTGCAGGATAAGGTAAATGTGCAGGATTTCATTCAGCTGCTGCCTTTTCACTTCATATAGCAGCCAGAATCTTCTTGCGACTTGATGCTGGCCTAAGTGGACTTATGTAAATCATGCTGCTGAACTGCTACTAATTTATGAGTTGTTATTCATATTGTAAGTTGCTGTGTTGTCTTGGCATCGTGTTGTCTTGGCATGCAGCAGCTCAGTAACTGGTGACAATTTGCTGCTATAATTTACATACAAGAAGCCATGGCTAATATCCTTCAGAAATCTGTTATGGATTTTTGTCACTTTTTATCAGAGAATATTTGAAGCGAGTGGGGTGAAGAGTATGTGGACTTCAGCTTCCGTCCATTCTAGTGAGGAAAAGTTAGTGAGGAGCGACAGTCTAGCAACATGTAGAAAGCTGTAAATTGCCTTTCTCTGACTCTTCCGTCCGTTCTAGTGAGGAAAAGTTACATCTAGAAAGCTGTAAATTGCCTTTCTCTGACTTAAAGCTAATGACTACAAAAAGTTTGTTTCCATCATTAAATATGTAATAGAAAGTCTGTGTGCTGTAAAAAGCATTGTATGATAATATGCAGGAAATGGATTGTAATTGGGGGTTTAAGGAAACTTGGCTTTTTACTCTTTGAAGAGTTCTAGTGAGGAAAAGTTACATCTAGAAAGCTGTAAATTGCCTTTCTCTGACTTAAAGCTAATGACTACAAAAAGTTTGTTTCCATCATTAAATATGTAATAGAAAGTCTGTGTGCTGTAAAAAGCATTGTATGATAATATGCAGGAAATGGATTGTAATTGGGGGTTTAAGGAAACTTGGCTTTTTACTCTTTGAAGATTGTTTCCAGATATTTTTAAGATGTTTTGTTTTTCAGATAGTGAAAGAAAAATTTAATATGGTAGCACCTGATGTCCAGATAGATGATGGAAAGGGTACTATTCTTATCTCATCAGAAGAAGGAGAAACTGAAGGTATGAAATAAGAACTGGAGCAAGCACAAAAAGGCATCAGAAACTTGGTATCACTTTGTGTCACTCCACCGTGTGTGGGGTCATTGTCTTTCCTGTGTCTATAATTGGTGGTTTTTGCAGAAAAGACATCAAGGGTGATGGTCCTACTGTTTTGAGCACTGATACAGGGATTCTGCCTTGGCCCTATGAGGATGATCACATCTTTTGTTGTCTGAACATGTGCTTGGGAAGAGAACCGCGAATGCGATGGATTGACACCATACGGCTTGAGGCAGTCGTAATAGTGGTCATGTGTTTAGATACATACGGCTTGAGGCATCCGGTGCAGTCGTAATAGTGGTCATGTGTTTAGATGGGGTGGGGGAGGTATCAGGTCATGATCAGAACAAGAAAGAAAGGTGCCAGCAAAGCCACGAGAATGCTTTGTGGCCTAACCTTGCCAGACTTTTCCACCTTGCGCCAGGTGTGGCTTCTCCTTATTCTGGTGTCTTCCGCTGAAGCAAAGAAAGCAGCCTGTTTGTTGTTGCATTGACATGAGCCGAATGCTGTGTTCTTAGCAGCTTTTTGTCACCTGTATGTTTGGTCTAAGAGAAACTTTGAACCCCTTCAAAGCTTGGTGCGAAGTACCAAATCTTCCTTTCGGCCTTCTTTTTTTCTTCTTAAGAAAAAGGGGAAACCCTCTGCCCCTTTTAGAGCCAGGGAGATTATTCTGAACGTGAGCTGGCCTCGGACATGTCTGCTGTAATCCATGAAAACTGCGTCTGAAAGAAGTCAGTGGGGCCAGAATCCCGCTGAGGGCAGGCAGAGGGAGGCCCGTGCTGCCATGTTCCCTAATCTGCAGGTGGTCCACTGCACAACCCAAAGGGGGACCCCGTTTCAGTAAGCACATTTGCACAAGGGGGTATTGAATACCTTCTACTCTGTCTCCCCAAAAATAAGACCTAACCTGAAAATAAGCCCTAGTTAAGTGAAACCCCGCCCTCTACCATTATGCAGCAACCAGAAGATGACATGACTGTATTTGAATCAATGTAGATGGCTGTACATGGAGAAAAAAAACATCCCCTAAAAATAAGCCCTACTGCGTTTTTCAGAGCAAAAATTAATATAAGACCATGTCTTATTTTCGGAGAAACATGGTAGCAGCATGCTAAAGAAGCCCTGTTGTTCCCACAGTTGAGTGCTGTATGTGCAGAAATGGACCGTACAGGTCTCATAGTAGTACCACACTAAAGAAGCCCTATTGTTCCCATAGTTGAGTGTTGTATGTGCAGAAATGGACCGTACAGGTCTGGTCTAAGTGAAAGGCAGTGCAAGACTGTTCTTTTTTAAAAATCTATTTCATTGTTATAATGAGAAAGACTACTGTGATTACCCCATTAAGGATTTCTTTTTCTCTCTTCTCCCTCCCTCTCTTCCCAGCAAATAACCACAGGAAGTTGTCAGAATTTGGGATCCGAAATGGCACCCGACTTCAAGCAGATGATTTTTTGCAGGACTACACCCTGTTGATCAATGTGCTGCATTGGTGAGGACTAGGAAGCCTAATTTTATGGGGTGATTTTGGGCCCAGGGACTGCAACTCTGGAGAAAGAGCCTTTAATCGAAAGTCAGGGGGGCGGGGGGCGGGACTCTGTACATGTAAGAAATACAGAGTGGAGTTGAGAAACTGTTTGGCTTTCTTTTGCACAGGAATAACTGTTTTGCATCTCTTATGGAACAGGGCCTGAATTTGGTTTTGAACAGCGCATAATGCTTGCGCAGGATGTGAACCATTTCTGAAACTCGCTCCCGTTGGTCGTGGCAGATGCCCCTTTTAAGTATTTTCTTGGTGCTTTTTTCTTTGATCAGTGAGGATCTTGAGAAGGATGTGGAGTTTGAAGTTGTCAGTGATGACGTTGTTGGTCCCAAGCCCTCCGAACAGCCCTCTAAGAATATCACCAATGGAAGTGACGATGGGGCCCAGCCGTCTACATCCACAGGTAAAGAGCAGTGTTTTGTGGAGACCTTAGCAGGTCCTTGAGATGCTAAAACAGAGCATGTCTGAAAACAAGACCCTGCACTAGACATTATCAGGTTTTTTAAAGTTTTCCATGGAATTTCTTTTTTTAAAAAAAATTAACTACAACTTTAATTAAATCAAATCCATAAAAACTAAACAGTGAAGCTTTCCACCCCTTCTCCTGAGTCCACAGAAGAGTCCGGGTTTTTTTCTCATTTGTACTTGCCTTAAATTTACCATCTGTGCATGTTTCATTTGGTGAACATTAAGAACTTCTCGCTATCTAACCCATAATTTTCATGTTGGCAGTTCAGCACCATCGCTTGCAGGCATGATGTGAAATATCAGAAATCTGGAATCAGTAGTCAGATGAAGTGTCTCAGATGGGCATCTGTTGGTTACCAGAGAGTTGAACAAATGTTTTTAAAAGGTGGCCATCTGCCCTAGACCGCAGTGCAGTGACTTATTTTTTTCCAGCTCAAGAGGAAGATGATGATGTCCTGATTGTGGAGATCGAGGAAGGTTCTCCCGGTGACGCTGGTGAGACGGAAAATAAAAGCCGTAAGAGGAAGCTGGAAGACAAGGAGCAGGCTGGCACGAAACGGATGCGTTCAGAGCCGCTGTCTGAAGAGCAGGATGATGTAATAGCGCTAGACTGAGTGCTGAGAAATGCCAGCCAGTGGGATGTGCCAAGTGGATGATTGTCGGTGTGTGTGAAAATGGCCGGAACTAGACCCTGCCAAGACTTCTGCTGCTGGAGAGAAGCCGTGCCTGTTGCTTGCAGAACTTCTGCCCTTCTTACTCTGTAGAATTTAGAACTTCTCCACTATGCTGTACTAAATCTAGTAGACATCTCGTTTATGAACATTCAGGCAGTCATGAAAACAAAGCATGTCTGTTGGATAATAATGGTTGAAAGATGAATTGGTGTAGGAAAACCCGTTTAATGAAGTGGTTTTCTCACTTAACTACATGCGAGAGGTTTGGAATTCTGGTTTGATAATGGTTTGTTTCTGATCCTGGCCTAGTCCTTGCTGTTTTTCACACCCTGAAAGC